TGATCAATAATTTAAACTATAAAAACTATAAAAAATATCAACTCATGGTAAATTGTATTCTCAATGATTAATTTAAGGTTAAGGACAAGATCGTGGTTGGAGATTTTTAACACTGGTGGGAAAATAGAAAATAAGAAATGCGTTAATTTGTATTTTTTTACAAAAAATAGTGTACTGGGTGAATCTCACGAAATGTGTTTTAATCTTTCATAATTAAGTAGATATTACAGCCCAGGTTCCAGATTTTAAACCGCAATTAATTATTTTTTACAATGTTTTAAAAGTCTAAAACCTATCCTCCGTGACTGTTACTCTTTCTAGGTTAACCTATATGTTTTCAAATATCTGAGGCAGTAAAAGCATACTAAAAATATCAGTTCACTAATTAAATTAAACACATCCAAAGCAATCGAATCAAATATAAAATATTATTAAAAATTAAAAGAAATAATTTTTATAACCATTTATGTAGGTGTTACAAAAATTGATTCTATCCTCCGTGAATCTGTTTTTGCTTTAAATTTTATGCAACGGATGGCGCTTTAATCATTTTAAATAAGCAAAAACCTCTGTTTACGACATTATACGAGATGCATGTGATTCCTGAAGGTCAGTTAGAATTTATATGCAGATGAGAGTGTTGCTGTTTTATAATTCAAAAGTTTAAGTTCATTAATTTGCTATTTAAGATTTTTTTATAAATATGTACAATTGTATTTTTAAAAATATTAAGGTGTCAAAAGATACAATAACTTATTTCAAATATACAAAGGGATGTTTAAAAAAATATACGAAATCCTAACCTCCGTGAAGCTATCTTCCGTGAAGCTCTAATATTCAAAATGTATGATTTCTTAAAATTCTTGCATTAGTGTTATTACTAGACCTGGTGGCTTCCCAAAAACCCCATTCTAGACTAACAGTGAAACAACCAAAAATAATTTTTCAGTTAATATTAGGTATTTGTCGTAAGTAATATCATAAGGGCATTTAATTTTTCCGAAAAGAATCGAAAAAACACGTTGCTAAGTAATATTTTAACAAAAAGCATGAGTGCTGGTGGCAACAAAAATCCGAGTCGAAGAGGAGGATTTTTGCACCTGCACGAATGCATTTTGTTAAAAAATATTACTTAGCAATGTGTTTTTTCGATTTTTTTCACAGGAAAAATTAGATGCCCGAATGGTATTTGACAAGACTATTTCATGAGTAACAGTTAACAATTAAAATATAAATTTTTGTTGACAACAGCTGACAAGTTTTGCCGCGGGTAAACTCGAATAAACTGCTGACAGGTGCTGTCACACAGTTTTTTCACCTAGAAACCATTTGTAATTCAAAATTGGGCGTTTGTGATTGGTGGAAATTAAGACGAGGGAAATAGTCGTAGAAAAAGTATAGTGTGCAACTCGTTTATAAACTTTTCAAGGCACTCATTTAATTAAGCACTCGCTCGCAAGTGCCTAAATTAAATTGGCGACTAAAATGGCGTTTATCAAACTTGATACATAATATAGGTACTATTTTAGACACTTATTTAATTAAAAACTCGCTTTCTCAAAGTTGATACCTAATATACTATAAACTATAGTTTATAAAATTAGTTTACCTTTTACATGTGTATAACTTAATATCAGCAGCACACGTTATATTTTGTTGTTTTTGTGGTTTTATAATAATAATAATAAGCAGATTATTTAAGTTATTTAAATTTTAATTTTTTTTAACGTTTACATAATAATTTGAAAATAATTATTGTTTTTGAGCATTTTCAATAAAAATAGTTAAAATGATTATTTAATGTATCCTTCCATTCATTGTGCATTTTTTAAGCCTCAGGGCAACATTTTACAATAAGGATACATTAAATTATAATTTTTAATTTTGTGATTAAAATGAATAATTACCATAAAAAAGCGATTAAAATAAAAGTAAATACGTTTAGACACATTTAACGGAAATTTAGTAGAGTAAGACGATTTACTTAACCTACTAAAAGTTGTAAAAATATTAAATAAAGAAAACAAATAATTTGAGCGATAACCAAGGTGATAAAACAAGGTTTTCAGACCTTATAAACAAACAACAACTTAAATTTTGAATTAAAAAAAAAACGTTGTTGGTGTTATTACATTTTGGAGACCAACATTGGCCACCGATAAGTGGCGATTTAACTCCTATAGACTTCTTTTTCCGGGCTTTTTTTAATAAATTCACGATGTAAAAAATACGGTTGTGCTCCCCTATATAAATAATATACAGGGGCGTAGACAGCAGACAAGCTTATGATTTTGTAGTTTTATTTTACTCTTATGTTACCAAAAAATTATTAATGAACTGAAATTTTTGAGCGACCTTTAAAAATTTATTTTTTGAGAAACCAATTTATATTTCGTGTACAAAAATTTACCGTATGGAGCAGACAAATTTAATTTAAAGATTTTTTTTTACTATTTTTGAAATTTTTAAAATTCGCGAGCCTTACATTTTTTTAAATTGAATTAATTTTTGGAGAGAATTTTTAAAATAGGATTATTAATAATTAAAAATAATTCTTTTTTTATTTGCCCACCCTAATGCTTTATTGCGTAATACACATTTTTCTATTTCTGAAAAACTATTTTATATGTTATGGATAATTTTTCTTTGAAAAAATAATTCGTCAACATACAAACTGAAGTAACAATAAAATTAATTATTTTTATTCTGTTTACTATTCATTTAATTAATGAATTGTTAACAAACAATATATAAAAATATCTAATCGATAATATTCATTAACTATTAGCATCTGTGACAATCAGGCCCGGATCTAAAAAAATTTCAAGGGGGTCAAAGTTGCAAGTTGCAGCCCTTATTCATTTAAAATTATAATTAGAAGTTATTTGATACCTACGCTATATAGCGTTTCTAGGCATATTATGTTTATTATGACTTAAAAAAACAAAAAATTAATTTTTAACTCACACAATTTTCTTATTGTTAACCAATGTAATGTAGTTAATAGGATCGATGACCTACTAATTAAAAATTAAATATTGACATTTAAAATCTATTATTTACATTACATAAAACAAAGGTTGTTAAAATCGTGGCTGATATTTTTTTAGTGAGTCATTTTTATCATATAAATTTTTATTTTTGTAGACAATGTAATTGCATGTTAACACCGTTAAGATATTTTGCACTTTATTTTATTAGTACAAATATGTTGCTTTGTTTTTGAGATGTTAAATTATGTAAAAATATAGCTGAAGTTAAATTTTTGACTTATATGGAATCACCCAGTAATTACGAGAAACATTATTGAACCAATTTTAATACAAAAATAAGGAAAAATTTATTATAACAAGTTATTTCTTTTTGTTGAACTGTTTCCCACCTCTCTAAAACTACTTCTACTAGTTGCTCTGTGTTGCCCTAAAATAAGTACGCCTCTGAACGCGGCATACTTCAGAATGTGTATACAAACTTATTTTATTAAAAATTAACTATTTCAGACAAGTTTATTTTACCACGTTATAAAAATAAATTTTCAGCATGGCTATCTTAGTTTTTTGTTTTGTATCAATTTATGTTTACAACGAAGTATGCCGCGTTCAGTGGCGTACTTATTTTTCTCCTAAACCTTCTAAATGTGTTTTATTTTTCTTTATAAATATTTAAAAAAAAATTCTAAAATAGTTACTAATTGTTAGTTTTTTATAAAATTTAGTTTGTACCCATTTTGAAGCATGCCGCATTCAGTGGCGGACTTATTTTTTTCGAAAAAAACCTAATAATTTTTTCCGAATTTTGACATAGAAAAAATGTTATAGTAGGCATCTGTCAAGTGACATAAAAAATATATTTATAGCTTAGATAGAGTTTTTTATTCTCCATCTTTGTATTTTAAAACTTAAAAAAAAATTGGAATACCGAGTTGAAATTTTACAATTAGTCTTTTGATAGGATTTAAAATCTCTTGATAGTATTTCATGTTTTCTTGTTTTTCTACCCCCTGCATAATATTTTTAAATTTAAAGTATGACAATGGACTTTTCAAAACAAGCAGAACTTTTTATGAAGAATGACTTTTGGTCGAAAAATGAAAATTTTAGTCCATTTGTCCTCTTTAGCCCTCTAACCGTGGACATACTGTATAAATATAAAAATAATAGTTATTTATGTCATTAGGTTAAGAAGTAAGGCTTTTTGTGCTAAGCTCAAGGTTTGAAGGCCGACGCGTAGCGGAGGCCTACAATTGAGCGAAGCACAAAAAGGCACTTCTTGGCCGAATGGCATACAACATTTTATCCTCAAAGCACTTTATATAGGTCAATTTAATTCAACATCAAAGCAGCCTAACCTCACTTTTTTAGAATTTCATTTATTTATTAGCTAAAGATTACATTAAATGTATAATAATTATTATTGCTTTTAGAAGCAGTAATAGTTTGACAATACCTAGATACATGATTTAAATAGAAATGGATTTTTGCTATTACATTGAATTCAATTAATTGTTTAATAAATAAGTAGGTATCTAATCTCAATTTGTTTGGATTTTTATTTAAAAAATAGGTAGTTTGGAATGTTTAAGCAGTGTTTAACATTTAATTTCACTGAAAACTTAAAGCAAATTAAAACTTAAAGATAATTTAAATCGTAGAAAAAGAATCGTGCGTTTTCTTGCTTGCCTAACCTCACTTTTTGTTTTATTATTCATATTTAATTTTACAATAGTTTAATGAAAAATATTATACATTAACAGTAAAACAAACAAATTAGTGCTTATTATAAATAAATTAAACCAGTTTAGTAGGTTAATTTCTTAGAAAAGGATTAATTTGTCAAAACAGCGAGAAAAAATCGAACTAATTACTTGCCTCATAAAAATTTTTATCGGCCTAGGCCATAACAAGGTATTTCTTTATCGAATGTTGACAACAATAAAGTTTAAATTATAGACCGCGTGAAGATAAAATATTTTTTCTCTAACCGTCTATTTCTTCTTCTAGGACAAGTTCCTGCAAGGTTAGTGCTATACTTGCTATCATGGTCCGGTTTTTTGGTATCCTTCATGATGAGAAACGACATAAATTTGGCAATAGTGGCCATGGTTGCCGATCCTGATACACCGAAGAGGCACAACTCAACTCAAGAATATTGTTTTGTGACGGAGGACGCGGCAAACAACACAGCTCCATTGGTAAGCCCAAAAAATGTTAGGTTAATGTAAATATTTGCATAGAGCGACATCTATGGTCATTATACTTTTTAGCCCCATCTACCTCTGAAAAATAAATATTTCACATTTTCATATCCATTGCGACTATTATTTAGGCAAACTAAGGGTAATTCTAATGTTACTCTCATCAGTAAAGTTTCGCAGTGTGACAAAAGAGGCATGTGACGAAGGAGACATTTTTCACAATAAAAAAATCTATTTTGTAAGTGACATAAATGCACATGAAACATTGCATTAATTAAAAAGACAGAAATTGGTTTACTTTACGTGATAAAGAAAATTAAATACTGCAAATACTTACCGAGTAAATGCCATGAAGAAAGATAACCTTAAAAAACACACGCTGCTTGTTTGTAACGCGCAAAATAACAATAGCGATACCATTGCCTGCAGCGGCAAAATCTCGTGCCACAATTATAAACTACATGGGTTACATAGTTCTTTTATATGTAATGCTAAATTCCAGTGTATTTTATAACTAGAGATGGGATTTTAGGTTACCAAATTTATATAAATAGGTACATAAATAGGTAAAGTTTTTTCTTGTTTTGGGTGAGAAAATCCTTAAATTAGGTACGTACTTAAAAGCAAAAGCAGGTGGTAAAAAAATTTAATTTAATATTGTATAAAATTCTATTGAAGAAGATTTTTATGAAAATAACTGATGATATATTCTTGTAAAAATATTATTTATACCCCATCATAAATTTTATAATTTTTTAATTCAAAATCTTTTTGTTAATAAGCATACAATTGCTAAAAATAACAAATTCACATTCATTATGAATCATAATTTATGAGGGAAATGTTTTTAAAAATAATTTCTCATAAAAAAGCACAAATTTGCTAGAATTTGTGAAAATACATAATAGTATATTAAAGCTATTTTATCTATTTTACAAATATTTTATAAAAAAATTAATTTTATACTATATATATATATATACTATAATTTTATTTACAATAAGCGGTTGTTAATGTTAAGGAAGAAAAAAAGGATTTTCTTTGGTGCTAAACAAAATTTATTGCCAGAAAAGTCTCGTAAGTACTAGAAAAATCATAAAAATATTATAACCAATATGCAAAATATTATGATGTTTAAAGTATAGCCAACCTATTAAATCAAAATTTTGGGTGGAATAAAGTATCTCATTACAACACCGAAAGCGGTGTTATAATGAAGTCATTATGAACGCAAAATAGATAAAAAATTTAAATAAAACATGATAACATGAGTTTGATTTGAAAAGCAGGAGACATGGCAACATTGCATGGGAAGGTTGAGAGTGGTTTTTGATGGTATAAAATTTAAAAAATTCTGTTAAAAATAAAAATTCAAGTGAAATAGGTAAAATTACACTGGTTTAGATAGTAAAATGTAAAAATTAGGTCCATTTCTTTTGAAAATGAAAATTTAGGTAAAATAGGTAAAATAAAATCAGGCTCATTTCTTCAAAACGGATTTTATTCCATTGCACCTAAAGTTATGATTAGCCTAGACAAATAGGTTATAACACTAAAATCCCATCTCTATTTATAACAAAGCTGTTTTTATTTGGGACAAGGTTGGTCACGCTTAAAAAATTATTCCCAGACATTTTATCACATTCTTTATTAGTACTGATGGGCTACTTATTTCTTATTTCATTTTAGTTTTAGAATTCTGTTTCATAAAAAGCCTATGAAATACTCTCACAGGCAAAATAATCGATCCACACAAATTTTCGATGAATTTCTATCGCAAATAACTTTTTTATTTGATTTCGGATTTAAACGAAAATTTAAGAATATTGTAGATAAATTAATAGAGAATCGCTCACATTTTAAAAATTTACTAAAAAATAGACGTACGTTTATAATATACATGTTTAAACAAAAATATGTTTTTTACCATAATTTTAAGACACTCTGTAGAGTGGCAAAACCGTATTTGGTTCTAAATTAAGTTTTAACTATCAAAATATTGGAAATTGCAATGTTTTTATTGAATCCATATTTCCCACAAAAATAAATATATCGAGGTGAACCAGAAGCAAAACTGTTAAGAATAGATGCACAGTAAAAAATTTTGCCCGTGTAATTTTTTTAGTGTAGGGGTAAAAATATTAGAGTTGATTTGTTAGTGTAAAAGTTACACTACAAAATACACTAGGTAGCATTTAGTGCTTATTAACTTTATTAAACACATTTAAAGAATATGAATAGAATAGAATAGAGGTTTATTAAAGTAATAAAAATTACATTAAACGTCAAATAAACAGGTGTAAAGGTTGGTATATAGTAGATAAAATATGAATACAAAAAAATATTACAAATACAGGTAAGTAAACATTATGAACAATATTTATTGGTACATTCACACTATTTATTATTAAAATAAATCAAAAGGGTAGAAAAACTTAATGCGAGTGTTTATTATCCCTTAATGTGTTAAATAGTGACAAAATGTACACTTTAGTGCATGCCAATTTCTTTGTCTGCTTTTATGTTACTAAGAGCTCTTTTTTCTTTACACTACTAGTGCACATTGTATCACAATTAAAGTTAAATTACACCAATAGTGGCAAAATAGACTGAAAAAACTGGTAATAACAGAAATGCGTTTCAAAATGTTTGGTTGGTACCTATCTACCAACGCAGTGCATATCCGGAGATACCGCGTTGTGGAAGTGTGGCATTTTTGTTCAGTTAGATTTTAATTACGGTGAATCCATAAGAGGACATTCTTATTGTTTGATAAGTGTTATACTTCCTTTTTCTTTAAGCCTCAATACTCAATAAATACCAATATGTTAAAAGGATGTCCATACCCGACCTATATTATATATCAATAATTTACGGCAGTAGGTTGGGTACTTGAAACATTAATGATATAAATAAATACAGAATTGATTTATTTTTTATTTTCAAGCGTAATGGTTGTTATATTAACCTATACCTACATTTTTATTAATATTATGGAAAATTTGTACACGTGTGGTAAATCCCCGACATACAGCCGCCTGACGCCTCTCTACCAATGGGATCACACATTTTTCATAACAGAAAAATGGATTACTGATGAATTCTCAAGATAATTCATTGCTTACAAGTTGACAGCCAATAAAACATTGCATTGATCTAAAACTTTTACGTTTTAAGGAACATTTTGCTTAAGCTAGCCATACGACTCAAAAATAAAATTATATTTTAAAAGGCACCGATTTTGATAATTGTCATAGATTTTTGTTCCAAATAAATGTTTCTCTTTATTTACCTTTTGGTTTTATTCACTACCACCAATAGGTTTTACTCAAATAATAGTGTTAATTTACACTAAAAGAGTAAAAGTACCTTTCTAAAATTAGAACTTTTCCAAAGTAGTGTTAATTTACACTGAACAAAAGTGGGATTTTACCCAGGAAGTGTAGAAGTACACGATTTTAGGTAAATTAACACTTTTTAATATAGTGTAAAATTACATTTTCCTCAGTGCTATAGTGTTAAATCATACTTGCTTACTTGGGGAAAATTACACTACAAATTAACTCCAATTGTAGTGTTATAAAACAACACTATTTAGTGTGGACCTGTGTGAACTCTAATTAGTGTTGCTTAGAGTTGATTTTTTTTTACTGTGTCCCATGGGACTTGATAATTCAAAATTAATTTAGAACAATATACGGGTTTGCCACTCTACAGAGTGTCGTAAACTTATGGTAAAAAAATATTTTCGTTTAAACCTGTAAAAAACGTACGTCTATTGTATAGTAAATTTATCTACAATATTCTTTAATATTCGTATAAATCCAACATCAAACAAAAAAGTTATTTGCGATTGTAATTCATCGAAAATTTATGTGGATCCATTATTTTGCCTGAGTGTATATCCAAGTTATTGCAATATGATGGAGACATGGGGTTATAGACTTTCAACCTTAATTAAGACATTACAAATATTTTTATATTTAATTGAACATTTTTTTATTAGACTTAATTTAAATATTTTTCTAATAGGTAAAGTACACTTTTTGATCTTATTTACAAAAAAATGTCGAATTTGACTTTCTAAACGCAGATCATACAGGGTGTCTCAGTAATGTCGCACTAACTAATTCAATACGATATAGAGTAGTTTTTTGTCAAAATTTTATGTACTGCATTACTTATTTTTATCAATTTTTTTTTTAATTTGACCTTGATCTTTTATAAATATTATGCGAAATATAGTCACTTAAAACTGGCTTGGGACACGTTAAAACAGACAAAAATGTATTATAATTAGTCGAACAACTAATTAAAATGCGCATTTTAGCAAATTTGACGTATTTATTTTGTATTTGGTTTTAATGTATTCCTAGCTTTAAGGTCAAGATTAAATATATATGGTACATTGTTGTATTTTTTTATGCAAATTTTAATTATACATATTTATGTACAATCGATTAATCCATTTAAATTTTAAATTACTGTTCTTGGGAAAAATCAAAACAACATTCTAAACAATCTTCTTTTCTATGAACGTCAGCATGAACAGTTGTGCCAAAAGTAAATAAAGTGATTTACTTTTAACACTTTTAACAAGGCGTTCAAAATTCATTTTCTCGATTTTTATGTAAGAATGTCATATTCTCGCACGCAAAATCGTTGAAGAATGAAGCTCATTCTTAAACGATTTTTGGTAACATTTAGTTTTTAAGTATTGGTACCCCCAAAATGTCAAACTGTTTAATAACCTCAAATTCATTACTTTTAGGATTATTTATAATAGCTTTGTTTGTTATCCTGCACTAGTGCAACCTGAACCACACTTTTATTGAAAATGAAGCCTTTATTATTGTTTTGTTATATTAAGTTTGCTCCAACAATGCATTTTAATGCAAAATTTTAAGTTTAATGTGAAAAAGTGCAGTTCAGTTGTACTTGTGCAGGATAACAAATATTGACAAATAAATGAGCCAGACAGGTCAATCAAACTATAT